TATCGCGCTGACTCCCCAATCCCTTGCTGATCCATGATATAGTCTACAAGAAATTGATCCGTGGGGCGTCAGAATATGCGATTATTGCTCGAAGCGTGCCCCGTCTCACGCTGGAATCGCCACAGAGCGACGAAACCAAGTCCGTCGTCCGGACGAGCTCGTTTAACTCATCCAGAGTCAGTGCCGGATTCGTCCGGATCGTAGTCAATGCCTTTAACGAGCGTTGGATCAAATTCGGGAAATGCACGCTGGATATTTGCAAATACGTCCGTGAGCATGAGCTTCTTCAAAGCTGCTTCGCGACGAAACAATTCTTTCTTCAGCGTTGACTGATTCATCGAGATGAAGTCGGCCCAGGCTGCATCGTTCTGCAGTAACTCAGCACGCCTCTGCTCCATGTAAGCTTTCTTCTTGAACGCCAAGTAATTTTCGACCGCATTATCCCAATCCTTTTCTCTAATTTCAGCGTCCATCTCCGCGTACTCATCATGCCACTCAGATTGAAGCGCCTCGGGGGGGGAAATCATAGCATAAGCACGCGAAAAGGCCGGACCAAAACTTTCTATCATTGCTTCGCGTTGTTTAATAGCGGCGTACAACACTTCAATCTGATCGTTGTAAAATTTTATTTCTTGGTTGATCGCTCGCCTATACTTTGAAACGATACTAGCGCGTTCATTCCAGATGACCTCTCGTTGTGGATCAAATCCCTTTTCGCGGAGCTTACGTGCCATCCTTATATTTTTAATGACCTCAACTTTCTTGCGATCAACCTGGATACGAAAGACGGTTTTTTCCCTGAAATACTTTGCTACCATTTTTGTAATATCGCGCGGATCATTAGTTGCGAGAGGCCTGCGCGACACGCCTTCATACATTAGATGCATCGCCAGCATTATCGCACCAGGATTTTCAAGTTCCTGGAGTATCCGAATCAGAATTTAATGCGTAAGTTTGTACATAAGGATCTTCCCGCGGTCGAATTCCGTCGTACGNGAGCAAAATATGATGAAAAGAAAAAAAACTTAATTTTTCGTCGCGTATTCAAGAATAAGGGCACATAATAATTTCCCGGAACGGCCCCCAAATGTAATGCACAGTGGCCGTATACTGTGCCTACGATACCCACTTGAACTCTATGTCAGTAGATCTACACAGAAATTACCAGAATAACGTGAAATAGATGTTGGTTTCAAGGAAAATCCCCAAATTACGGAACTTCCGAAGGGAAGTTCCTTCCAAAATCGTCTCTCTCTACAGTATCTGTTTCCCTCGCCAGTGCGAGCAGGTCGGCCAACCCTAACCGGGTGCGACGGTAGTTTGACATCGGCCTGGCATTAGACAACTATCCCATATTACTATCATATCCCTATTAAAATTACTAAGTTCTAATTATGCCTCATTTGCGGAATCCTAAGACCTCTATTTTCTAAAGCGACGTACCCTATACGTCGCTGTGACTGTTGAGCAATGTAGTGCCCATGCACTACACGGGCGGTCTCGTTCCAGGCGAACCAGTGGGTCGGCGAAGTGTGTGTAGTTTGTATCTGCTCGCAAGTTCTCAGTGGACCAAAGGAGGCAAAATTTGACGGCTAAAGAATTACACTTACTTGCCATTGATGGTGGTTTGTNTCAGTGGACCAAAGGAGGCAAAATTTGACGGCTAAAGAATTACACTTACTTGCCATTGATGGTGGTTTGTGGCCCCTTATGTTCGTACAATTGACGCTGCCGAAGGTCAGGTCATGTGCAAGACCGGAGTGGAGTCGAGTGACCCCTTGAATACAAAACTGTGATCGGCGGAGGAAGAGGAAAGGAAAAACAACCAGTTGCTTTTATTTATGGTTCTTGTAGAAAACACATTCGGGTCGGAAGTCGGACGGCCCCTCACAGAACCCGAGAACTTCAGTAGTTTGTCGAAGGCACTGCACACGAACCTGCTTGCGTTTCTCTCTGACAAAGGATGGTTGGAAAATGCCTCTTTTTCGCGATCATCGTGCTCATCTGCTGCTGCTTAGGTAAGTTGGCGGCGCTCTACTCCCTCTCCAGCGCCTCCGCCTTTCGCAGGTTTGGTGCGGCCAGTTGTGCTCCTACTGGTCTGCAACAGGCCACGTAACAAGCCCCTCATATATTCCCCGGTTTGTTTCACCTTGCGCGTTTACTGTGCAGCTGCCGCAGGACAACCGGCACGACCACTCTTCATCAAGTTCGCGGGTAGGCGGTTTGTTCTGTATCACGTTACGGCTATGCCACTTGTGCGGACTGGAACTCTTANAAGTTCGCGGGTAGGCGGTTTGTTCTGTATCACGTTACGGCTATGCCACTTGTGCGGACTGGAACTCTTACACGTGTCTGTTCAAGCAGTGAGCAAATCTTGTGAAGAACGCAAGTTGAGTTATTCTATGATCTGATACCTGTCAACTGCACTCAGGCTGTTCGAAGCCCCCTTTCTTCCCTCAAGTGTCGATAGTGACGTACCGGCAGCACGTGTTGAAGACCCTCATGCAGGTATTTCGTCTACGGCATCCCAATGACGCTATCGGAGGACCTGAGGTGATGGCAGCATGTGCGCAAGCAGCCGCTCTTCTAGACGCCTACCGCAGTCTGCGTTCGGCCTATTTAGACTACCACATGCAACACGACCCACACGCCGGCATGTCAGAGGACAGCGCCGCCTGGATGGCCGGGCGCTTCAACCTCATGTTGCAGGAAGACCAGGCAGTTGCAAACGACAAAAATGTCCGGAAGGGGCTGAAGTGGTGTATTGACTCAAGTACGGCGGAGAATGTTATCTGCGGAGAAACACTGGGGCAATTGCTTGTCTAGGCACGGAGCAGCGCACGTTTCCTGAAAACAGCTTTCACCGGTGGTGGACTATGGGCAG